AGACTGTCAAGCATCTTCTCTTGTCTTCCTCTATCTCTCCTTTCTCAGATTTTTCCAGAACAACATGTTCTATTTTCCCTCTTTTCATAACATAGCCGGAAAATGATGACTGTCTCCATCTGATGTCTGTGATAAGTTGTCTTCGGTCTCCCGCCTTTTTCAAAACCTGTTGGTTGCTTTTTTTTTTTTTTTTTTTGAGGGGGTGGGGGGAGGGGCTGTCCAAGGTATTCTAAGCATTCTTCTGTAAAACCACATCTCTGAGGCCTCTAGAAGCTGTTTGGCCTGCCTACCAATTGTCCAGGATTCACAGACATATGTTAAAACTCGATGTATGTAGCAAGCTAGAATTCTTTTTCTAACTCTCAGTGACAAGGATATATTGCACAAGATGTTTTTAATTTTATAAAATGCAGTTTTTGCCTGTCCTATTCTTTTTCTTATCTCAGTTATGCATCTTTCATCTGATGTTGTATATATATATATATATATATATATATATATATATATATATATATATATATATATATATATATATATATATATATATATATATACAAGCTGCAATTTCCCTCAGGGATGCTTACAACTGAGGACCTTTAGACTTTTTAAATAGTTCAGCTCCTAGAACTACGTATCAGTCCTTTCCATCTGAAATGGATTTCTGAAACCCTTCTACATGAAAGGAAGTATTTAAGTGTGACAGCTGGGCCTCTGAACCAACAACAGTACTCCCTGGCCTGCCACAAGGTTTACCACTGTCTCCAGTATTTTTCAATGTTATCATATGCTGATGGCATTTTGGTGTACCGTCAGGACAAGGACCCAAATGATGTTGCAGAGGAACTTTAATCTGCACTTGACCTCATAACCAGTTGATGGTGTGAGGAAAGAGCAGTGGGTCTGGTCAACACAACGCAGGCAGCTGTGAGACATGGTTCTCGCTAAATAACCGTATCATCAATACTCCAACACCAACCCTAAATTTATGCTCGGAGATGGTGTGGAGAGAGCTCCTGCAATGAAATGTCTGAAAGTTATTTTGAGCGCTGTTTGGCTTTTACTGAGCACATAGACCATGTGGTAGTAAAAGCTTGGAGGGGTTTTTGCATCTATGAGGATCATGCAGCAGAGAACTGCGAGCAGCCACATCTCTGTTTTTTATACTAAGGTCTGGTCCTTTAAGCGATCAAGTATACCTTGGCGATTCTTACTTTTAGCCAGACTCAGTTTGAACGACTAAAAAGGATACAATACGAGGCCATGCGCATTATACTTGCATACATTAAAGATACTGTATGCAGAACAATGCGGCACCTCCTTGATTTTCCAACAATTGAAGCTAGAATAAGGATCTGTCGGGCATACGCCTATCTCCGAGTCAGTGCCTACACACAACACCCACTGCACTGTGAAATCAGGAAAAGAAAAGGCAGCAAATCAAAGAGAAGAAAATCATGGATGGGTCAGGCAGAGGATATTTTACAAGAGCTTTGTTCACTTGAGGACATACAGTTTGCTGAAGTATGGGTAAGTGTACCACTAGAGTGCCATGCCTAATTTGAAGTGTGCATAAAGGTGAACAGAAAATGCAGGCAACAAAACCCAATAGTTGTGAAAGCAGAAGTGCAGGCGTTGATATGTGATTATTCTTCTTAGACCTACAACCTAACTATACAATCACAACAACAATTTCAGGCATAGATAGAAAGACTGAATAATGTGACCTAGTAAAGCATGAAAAGACCCTTGAACATGTTTACAGCTCTTATCCTAAACCCGATTGGACACATATATTCACCGATGGATCATTGGAGGGAGCAGAGAAAAACATTGGGTCATCATGCTGCAAGATGGGCCCACAGTAGAAACTTCATGCGCCTCCTGAAGACTCCCAACAAACTTCAGAGCAGAGCAGCAAGCAATTATTTATCCAGCCAAAGTGCTTGAGGAAAGAAACATTAAAAACCTCAAAATTGTTTTCCTTTGTGACTGCATGTTAGTACTCCAGACGACTCAGAGGGATCCACGAGACAACATGGAAAACGAACTGACCCGCCAGCTAAACAGACTCGCAGAAAACAGTCATATCGTTCTCCAGTGAATCCTGGATATCTGAGGCATACCAGGAAATGAGTTAGTAGACAGACTTGGAAAAAAGGGAACAAAGGAGAAATACACACCCATCCATTGTCAGTACCAGAAATCAGAACACTTATCAAGGGAAAATATAAGGAATTGTGGAGAGAACAAACAAATCATGGTAGACTCAACAGAAAGCATCATACAACAATACTCCGTCTGCTAACCGGACACTGCAAGCTCAACAACCACATGCATCAAAAAAAAAGATTGTACAGTCCCCACGGTGTGCCTGTCAAATATGACCACAAACACATTAGCACATTCTGCACACCTGCTCACTCTACCTACAACTTCGAAAAGACACCTGACATCAAGAGCAAAGTGCGCAGTGCAAGCTATGGGGAACCATTAAGGACTTGCTGCTGACATGAGAGTTCATAGAGGCAACCCACTTGATGGTCTGATTTGAGCATACAAAACCGAACGTAAAGAAGAAGAAATACAATCGAACGTTTCAACAAAAGTCTTCACCAACGAATTGCACAAAATGAATTTAAGACAATAAACATCCGATCAGGAAAGTCAAAACCCCTTTGCTTAGCATATTTCCCGTCCTCTCTCCTTACTTTCATATGATGATTCGTGTTTGAATTAGTTCTTTAAATTCTCTTTCTCTCTCCACCACTCTCTCCCCCACTATATTTCTCTCTCTGTGTGTGTATGTGTGTGTGCGTGTGCGAGCGTGTGTGTGATTATGTGTATAAATATTTAATCAAGGCCTGAAAATAAAGTTTGCCATTATTACTATTATTATTGACAAATTCATTCCAACAATGCCTTTGATGAAACATTATTCAAATACTTCTTTTTGACAGCCCCTGTGTTGTTTGACAGCTTCATCACTAATTGCAACTCTAATTGTTTATGAAAGAGTCTTGTGAAAAAAAAAAAATCCTTTAATATGATTTTCAATTGAAATGACAGTTCAGGAGAGGCTTTTGTTACTGGATTTAGCCGTTCATAATTATATGACAAGACATTGCTTGCAACTATATTTGTAATACTGGGAGGTAACTACCTCACAGAATATAACCTTTGACCCGTGTTGGCCGTGAGGGTGTATAGATGGAAGCACTAGCACACAAAACCCCGCCATATTTCAATGTCTTCTGCTTGTTAAACAAATGTATAATTATTTAGACCTGTCTACTTCTTAATGTTGTCATTCCATATTCTTCTTAGCACCTCACACCCCCCCCCCCCCCAACCCCCTTTTACATCTCTCTTCTTTTACTAACACCAGTGTTTCTTTAAGTATAGTCTTTGAAATCGAAGTATGTCTCAACAGTATCCGAACCAAACTAGCGTGCCAAAGAGACCCCTAATGACCTGCAAATGTTAATATTTCTTTGGTCTCCTTATTTTTTGGCAAACTATAACACTAGTGTACAACTGTAACACTGTGATGAGACAAGCGGGCTGCTGTAGTGTAGCGGCTAGACGATTGTATGTGGATCTAAAGGTTGATTCGAGTTCTGACGGATGCAGGCTTTTTTTAGTGACATTGCCTTCCAGATCGACACAGCCTTAAATGAATACCAGGTAAGTCTTTAGAAGTAAAAGCGGCCGGCGTGACGATGACCACTTCCCCCACAGAGTGCCAATTGGTCTTTAATATATAGGCCTAGACCTATTTGCCCAATGTGCATAGAAGAGGGTCCTCTACTTACGTGGATAAAACAGTAATTGTCACTGCGAATTTCGGACAGTATGACTCGTGCTGTCGCCACTTACTGTGGAGGCTAGGATGTTGTTTACTGCCCACGACAGAAAAAGTGACCAACATCTTACTGGGGTCGAACTCATGTCTCCAGCATGAGAGTCCGACGTTGTAACCGCTTGGCTATCTGCTCCTGTTAGAGATACCACTGGAAGTAACTATGATTATTTAACTGAACCCTAACACTGGGAGCTATTGGTAACAATGAGTGTAACTATAACTGCTTTGTGTAACTATAACTGTAACAATTGGGCGTAATTATATATGTTTAATATCTTCTTCTTATTCTGCCTTTCTAACCTCCAATGGAGCATAGGCCCTCAACCTGCTAACGCCAAATCGTTCTATCCCTCGCTATCGCATGCAGCTCTAGCCATGTCTTCTCCATCTTTTAAACTTCACTCTTTAGCTCCCTTATCCATGTGTTTTTAAGACTTCCTTTATTTCTATGCCCCTGTGGGTTCCACTGTAAAGATATTTTAGTTATACCGATCTCAGGTTTTCTTAACCAGTGCCCTATCCAACGCCAACGTCTTTTCTTCACCTCTTGGTAACCGAATAATATCACCGGGAACTTATTGTAACTATGTATTGTGCACGTAAATGACGCTTTCCCACGCCTTTAGGTATACCGCATATAGATCAAGATCTATATTTACATATTAATCGCCCTCGGTGGATGATGAGGTCGATATCACACCAGCCGCCTTTGCTTCCCAGGCCTTTATCTTGTACCCATTTAGGGCTGGATTGACCTAAGAGCGATAGACATTTTTGAAAAAAAAAAGTCCGGCACTGTTCGGATTTGAATCTACGACTTTCAGATCCACAGGCGACTGTTTAGTTACTACACCACGTTGGCTCCATTGGGTGTTTAGTGCTAGACGTATATTCTCACACTAATCGACACTCAGATGGTGATGAGTTCGATATCACACCGGTGGCCTTTGCTTCCCAAGACTTTACTGGGTAGGCATTTAAGGCTATGCTACGGTTATTTAAAAAAAAAAAAAAGCTAGACTACGTTCAGATTTAACAATGAAGTGTGTCTGTAACTATTCAGTATGAATGTTAAACTGGAGTGTAAGCATAACACACAGATATTATCATAACAATTGGAAAAAAAAGTTCAACTGACCAGATGCCATTGCTTTCCGAAATCCGGATCTTTGGGAAGTCGCGGTTTGGCTTTCAAAGAGATGTGCTGTTTGTTGTTGGAGAGCAGTTTGTGTGGATCTTTATAGCCCCTTTTGACTCGCATATACCCGCTCTGCTGGTAAGCGAAACGAACCTGGAGAGTAGAAGTATGCAGAAACTCTTTATTTACCGCTATGCAATGGAGGTGTCGATAGCGCTGGAACTGTCATTCTTAGATGATTGAGCTTAATCCACACTTAGACGGAGTTTTAAAAAAGACAGGAGCTGCCTGGTCGATCCAGCCTCGTTTTAGATCAGCAAGCGGTCTCTGCAAGTCTATGGTGATACTAAGTTATCAGATATGGAAAACTGGACGCAAGCTGCAAAATCACAAACATTAACTTTCTTGTGACGTACTTCCGATAAAATTTAAGATAGCTGTCTAAACCACTGGAGCAGTGAGCATTTCTTCTACACAGGCTAGCTTTATTAAATCTCATCCAATGGAGGACATTCTTCTATAGTGAGTTTCTAAATTCGTACCGATGTTAAAAAAAACATATCACCTGTAGTGGAATATAAATGCATAAAATTATATAATAATATTCATATTATTAGGGCTAGACAACATCTCACTGGAAGAAATCGAACCGCTAGAAGAGTTTGGAACTGAAATAATAACTGCACTTTTAAATTATATTTATAAAAGTGGGTACATTCCAAATGACCTTTAGAAATTAATCCATATTTAAAGCTCTGCCAAAGAAACCAACTAGTTTAAAATGTGAAGACCATCGCACAATAAGTCTTATAAGTCACATAACTAAGATTTCACTGAGAATAATTATGAGAAGAATAAGCAGCTATAAGAATTAACAACTGTTTAGGTACATTTAAACTATACAGTGAACATATAATGAGATCTTCAATTGATATGTCCGTAATTGTGGTTGTTGGGCATAATATAAACACTTTACATTATATTCATGATACAGTCTTGATAGCAACAAGTCAGTAAAAAAACTACAGGAAATTATAGACAGTTTGGTGGTAGAAAGTGGAAGAATGGGCCTCAGTTTGAATAATGGAAAAACAGAAGTAATGGTGGCATCAAAGAGAAGAATTATTACTAAATGTGTAATAAAAGTCAAAGGTGTTATTTTGGGACAAGTACAGAAATTTTAGTATCTGGGCACATGGATAACATCAGATGGAAGATGCATTACTGAGATTAGAAACAGAATAGGACAGGCAAAAAACTGCATTTTATAAAATGAAGAACATATTATGCATTTATCGATGTCATTAAGAATTAGAAAAAATAATTCTTGCTTGCTACATACATCCAGTTTTAATATATAGCTGTGAGACCTGGATAATTGGTAGGCAGGTCAAACAATTTCTTGAGGCCTCAGAAATATGGTTTTACAGAATAATGCTTAAAGTACCTTTGACAACCAGAAGAAGACAGTCATCACTTTTCGGCCATGTTATGAGGAGTGGGAAAATGAAACATGTTGTGACCACTAGAAAGATCTTTGGAAGGAGGGATAGAGGAAGACAACGAGAGAAGATTCTTGGCAGTCTTGTTGCATGGTATGGAGATGTGTCAGCACACGAACTGATACATGCTGCAGGAGATTGCAGATTGTGGAGAGGCATGATCTTCCACGCCAGTCGGCAAGGCGCATGATGATGATGATGATTTAATTATTCTTTACGTTACGTCACATTTTTGCCCTCATAGCAAGCAATTCAAATGCATTTTTGCCTTTTCGAGGTATATAAATATACGATGGTCCTTGCTGGATTGCCCTCTAAGAGCTATACAGCATAAAGTTCAAATGTAACCAATCGATCTTTAAAAAATTAATTTGTGTTCCTTGTGTTTTACTTACATTTTGAAGAAAACCACAAGTGTAACGGCTAATATTGACGCAACGCTTTACAAAATGAGTGGGCTGGATCATTTCCAAGTTTCGTCAACAATTGTAAAGGCATGGTTATGTAGTTTTGGTTAGGGTAATTCACACAGGTACTGAAAAATTTGTTTTTTTTTTCTTTTTTTTCTTTCGTCGCCCTACTGATACCAGGTTGTAGCCCTATGTCGTAGTTTTTCCCTTGCGCTTCTCGAGTGGCTTGTTCATCTGTTCATTTGTTCATCTTTTTTGAGGTTTCGGCTGCACCATTTATCTTTCTCTTTCTTGGTCTTCCTATCTACTTACTTCCAAACATCCAGCTGTAAAAAGTCTCATTTACAGATTGGCCTGTCTGCATTCTCACCAGATGGCCGAACCATTTCATTCTTCGTCTGTTAATATAATCCAGATATGGTCTTATTCCAACGTTATCTCTAATGCTGTTATTTGTAAACGGGATTTTTTACCTATTTTAAAATTATACAAATAATAAAAAAAACATAGAAAACTTTTGTTTTGATATAGCTGGGCAGCATTAGTAATATTTATGTATAACACATTAACATGGAGATGAAAATAGCAGCCTATGCAAGATATCACATTCCCAGGTCTCACATTATATTTCTTAGTTGCTGCCATCCGATAAGATCAATTAAATTATATATATATATATATATATATATATATATATATATATATATATATATATATATATATATATACATATTAGCTGTACCCGGCCACGCGTTGCTGTGGCATAGTTTGGCTAAATGGAAATGAAAGAAAATAGAAAACGCACGTGTCTAATACAATCATTGTCTGCTCAGATATAGAGATAGTCTTTGATCCCCGCCCACCACCACAAATAAATCCACCTACTACTATCTCCCTCATCAAAGGTTTTTGGAAAAGAAAGACAATGGAAATCGCAGGTGTCTAATACAGTTAATGTCGCAATCATTCTCTGCACGGATATAGCGATAGTCTGGTTTTCCAACTTTAGAACACGCACCTTATAATTGTGTCTTTATATTAGTGGTCGTTTAAATGGTGTTATTAGCACAGTAAAAAAAATAGTTATTTGGTTATCACATGCTAAAGCTGTCTGTATTTTTATAGGGGACGGAAGTAAAGCTACAACTGTACTTGTGAATAACAAAGTAAGTCGTAAAAAATAGAAAAGCGGAGGTAGCGTTAGTAAAATATAAACAAATTAGGCAATGAGAACTTGAAAATCAAGTGTAAAGCTCTTTAATTTCTCTTAAATTTAAGTCATTACCCTCTCCCCTCTTCCACCGACTACTGCACTCTCCCTCTTCGAAGGATTTGAAAATCACTACCTGGCGATATTTTGTTGTTGCTGTAACTGACATTGACATCCCTGTCCATCTGGACTAAAATAGGGAGCAGGAATTGTAAAAGGTAGTGAATAGGGCTAGTGTAATATTTACCACATCATCCTTCAAGTACCAGTACAACTACTAAAATAATGTCACTGCTATCTGTGTTACCATCGGAGTAGACAGAGAGTCGTGAGCCAGAAGATTTGGTTCCGCATGGCTAGTGCTGTCGCCACAGACTGGTCAGGTTAGGATGTATAATTTCACTTGCCGACAGAAGAACGCCATAACCTTACCGGCGGTCTTCACATGAGAGCACTATGGTGTAACAGCCCTGGTGTAACAACTATTACTGCTGCTGCTACTTTAAGTGTGTAAAGCAGTTACTGTGACTTAAAGCTCTCTCAGTTAATAGTTTGCCCCTCCCCCCCCTCCCCCCAAATTCACCGACAACTCTTTCCCTCATTGAAGTAGTTGGGAGAAAAAAAACACACTTGAAAAGCAAACGAACACAGGAAAAAAACAGTATAATTAGGAAATGAACGCCATTGTAAACAGCACAGCTTAAAATTCCAACACAGATGAAATAACTAAATCTAAATGAAAATAAATGAAAATCTATAAAATTTCAGCGTAACCATGCAATCGGAAAGTTTAACAATGCAATCATAAGTATGCGAAATGGTCAAATTTAATTATCAAATGGTTTACCCATTTACTTGTTTTTTTTTTTATTTTATTTATTAAGGCAACATGGCTAGTGCTGTTACCACGACAGAGCAGATGAGGATATTATTTTAGTCCGGGGTAAAAAAAAAATTTAACGACTGCGGATTCGAACCCAGGTCAACCGCACATGAACCCAGTGTTCTAACCATTCGACTAAGCAGCCACTTAATCGGAAAAACGAAAAGAGAACTCAACTATTAGACATGTGAGTCCCTACTACTGTGTCGCGATTAAACCACAATTCAAAACCGCAGGCAATTGTTTTCTCGTAGACAGATACTCCAGATATATTAATGAAATAGAAATCGCACGTGTCTAACACGGTTAATGAAGTTAATGTCGCAGTCACTGTCTGCGCCGACGTCGATATAGTCCTTGATTGCCCCCCCCCCCCCCCCCCCCCCCCCCCCCCCCCCCCCCCATCGAAGGTTGTTTGGAAAAAAAAAACAGAAAATAGAAATCGTGTTTAATATTGTTATTGTGGCAAATATAGAGATAGTCTTGTTTGCTGTACCACGACCTACTCTATGTATTAGTATTAGAGAAGGCGTTGGCTGCACGTAACTCGCCGGCGAATGGTAAATACGGCGCATGCGCAATTACTAACGTGGCTATAATTAGAAATCACTAAAGTTATAAATATTAGTTGCGTATATTTTGGCATAAATTGTGGTCACCTATCTCTAACAGTGACAGGTTGAATTTCAAACCACGACAGTTCAAAATCCGGTATCACAACAAACATATCCTGAAAATTTCAGCTAAATCGGTTCAGTAGTTTCCGAGTCTATAGGGGTGAAACAAACACACAAACATTGATTTATATATATATAGAATATATATATATATATATATATATATATATATATATATATATATAATATATATATATATATATATATATATATATATATTTTATATAGGAATAAACTCACAGGGAGCAAGTACAGCAGGCATCTACCAGTCATCAGTAGAAATTATCCTCGTCGACAAGCTTTTCGGCCTACAATTCCTAGACACTTTCGGAGGTGGGCCCACCTGAGTTCATGAAGCTCAGGGCTGGTACCCTGCTGCACGAGATTACCGGATGGTGTTTTCTTTCGGATAGGGACAAGACGACTTGGTGGTTTCGCAGAAGGTACTGTGAGATAAGAAGTCGTCGAGGC